GCAGCGGCCAGCAGCAATTGCGGACCGCCATTAGACGTCACCGCCAGAGTCGGCTGCAGGGGTGGCAAGCGGTGACCACCAGCAGGCACCGCCAGCAGTGTCGGCAGTGCCTTTTCGTAGGGGGTACACTGCCACGCTCTGGGGGTGCACGTGCACCTGCGTGCACCCCCTACACATCACCAATGGTTAGACATGTACCAAGTGACTTAGGGAAATGTGGCCAACACTAACATGGATTCTGCCTCCTATATGCCTAAGTTTTCACGGGAGATAAAACTCAATCACTATTACAAATTACTTGTCCCACTCACTTAATCATGTTGCATCAGCCACAGCTGCTGAAGAAACGAGAGGCATGGAATCTTTTGTTGTTGGACTTGGGGCTGTTTTCAAGCATGTAAACAAGCTGAAGGCTTTGTTTTATAAAGTGCGAGACGACTACAAACTTGACTGCCGATTACCGACTCCTGTTGTGCTGCGTCAGCTGATGAGTTTCTACCTGGCTGCATGTCGTATAAATAAGGCATGGACTGTGCTAATGCATATTTTAGATCACCCTGATTTATTCGGCACTAAAGCAGAAACTCTGAAGAGACAGGCAAATAATCTCAGTGACCACCAGATCCTGTGCACCAAGGTCTTGTTCGTTGTTGAGAACTTGGATTCGCTGTCTGAAATGCAAAAAGCAATGGAGTTCTCCCCTGCTCCTGTCAACACAACATTTTCTAATACAGATGTTCACCACATACTGACAACCAAAATATCATCTGAATTGAACACAAAAGCTGCAACAGAAACATATGGCGAGAAAACACAATTATTTCTTGAAATCCTTCTGACTGTGGAACATGAAAGAACTAAAAAAGCTTTCAAAAACTTCAACACTGTTCTCTGCGAAAAATGAGAGGCAACATGTAACACGTAATTTGAACCACAAAGTGTTCGGCACCAAAGATTCTTTTTGAAATCTCATCCAGGTGTTGAACCCCTACCTCAAGGTGAATTTTGCAGCAGACTAGGACCGCTATGCCAGAGTGTTTCAACCATTTGCCACCAAAGATGAAATTTCGCATCTTAAAAGTGAATACAGTACCTACATGAACACACCTATCCCTGACAATGTGGAACTGGATGTGCTGGTTTTTTGGAATACCCACCAAGACACACTTCCCAATTTTAGTAAAGCTGCATGATGAGCTTTGAGTGTACCCCCTGGATCAGTGGATGCAGAACACTTATTTTCAAAACTGGACTACATCCAAGAGAGCAAGGATACATCAACATGAGCAAGGATACACTTAAGAAAACCATGTGAAACTATGCAAACCAGGATTTCTGGAAAAATTATTAATTTTGATGGGACGCAAAAAATACATTTGTATATAAAAAGCTTAGCCTAACCTTACTGTTCACTTTTTTCTAATAATTCAAAATTGGTTTATGAAAACCTGAGTTTTTACACAAAAAACTTAAGAAAAAGAAATATTGTTGTAAAAAGGATGGACTTTATTTTTATTTTTTTAATCCTTGTTCATGGATACTAGCATAGGGAGTTATGACAGTTATGACACCACTTGATGCTACTTCTGGTGAGTACAACTATTTCTTGCTGTAATACAAATGTAGAAACCGTTTAAACACGTGTATGAATTATCAACATACTAAAAAGTATACAGGTTTCCTTTGATTTACGCAGGTTCTGTATGGGCCATTTGTGCCAGTTAACAGAGATTTGAACTGAACAACGGGTGTAAATCAGTAAAAACTGAATGACTTAAAAAAATCAGGGAATTTATCAGTGAAAAATCAGTAAAAACTGAGACTGCGGAACACTATGAATTCAGCAGTGAGGAAGAAGGAAGGAAAGGGTGAACAGCAGCAGCATTCACTCCCTGCGCTCTGGAGTTGCATGCAAGCAGGTGCTCTGGCCAGACCCTGTGCTAATCAGCTGGGGAGCTTGGAGCTCACTGTGCATGTGTGGCACAGCCAAAGGGAGCAGGGAAGGTCTGCACCCACTTTGCCCTGCTCCCGGATCTGCTACTGTTTGTCTGTCCTGGATTCCCAGCACCAATGCTGACTCCCAGTGGTTTGAGTACACCTTTCCCCACAACTCCAAACCTGTGGACAGTCCGGTATGCTGTTTTTCTCTTCAGTGACATGTGACAGTCAAAATAAAAAGTCATACAAATTTTACAAGGGCTCCACGCATTTGTCACTTTAGACAGCACAAGCAATATCCAACTTCAGATAAAAGAATCCATGCTTAGGTGCATTTGGAGCTTATCAGTTTATGAATGGGATCATATGGTGCAGTTGCCTGAGATCCAAGGGGACTGAACCCAATTCTCTGTTCCTATTTCCCTGCCTCATTTTCCTCACCATTCAGGAACTCTCTTTGGGCTTAGGTCAGAGTCCCCTAAGGGGGTTTCGATCTCTCCTCCCAATTTCTCCTTCTCTTTTCCCTCTGCCATCTGTCTCCTTCTGTATTTCTAAAATGGCTAACATCACCAACTCCTGAGGAATTCCTGTGATTCGAAGCCAGCTGCACATTTCTATTGAGGAGTCTGTGAAAGCGCAGCTTCCACATTCCTTCTGTGCAATGCCCAATTTCTCCCCCCTCTTTGACACGCATACGAATCCGTTTACTTTTCATACAGATCACTTTGTGTTCCCCAGTGCATGATTTCAGCTCCAACTCATTAGTGTCAAAACATAAAAGAAACAACAGCACATAAAACAACAAGCCTTTGCCAAAAGTAGGAGACAACAGCTGACTATTAAGGGTGCCCCATTATTTTTTGGCGCAGCCTCCGGTGTTTTCAGAGCCGCATTTCTGAAGGGCCTCCCTTGACTGAGGCTGCACATTTGCACGTGCAAAGGACGGTTCCAGATACATGTAAAATATCCATAAATGTACTTTTAATGATTTCATGATTTCTTCACAGTCCTCACCACCCCTTACTGGAGATTTTTTTCCTTCCTAACTCAGAGATCTCATCTATTACGGAAAATATTCATGAGGATAGCTATACCAGCAAACTGCACGCAGCTTATACCTATTTCCTGAGTGAAAAGGCTAGACTGGCAAAAGCCTTTTTTGTGCTCCTATACCTGTGTCTACATGCACACAGATACGCTACTTCAAGAAAAAAATGCCGCTGAAATCACTCCAAGGTACCTTTGCCCACTTGGTTTGGAGCCAGGCAAAGCAGGACCTTTGCCCACTGTATGAAATGGTTGAGGATCTAATTTTACTGCCAGTTGCGCCAACCCAGCTTAAAATATCAGCTGGCACCGCCTACACAGGGCTATCCACCCCCGGGGGTCTGGACTCACTCTGCTAAGGCACTAATACTGTCGTGCTAGTCCTCCGAAGCTGCACGGATGTAACGACTGCTCTACCAGGCCCGGGCCCCTGAGGGGCGGGGGGCGCAGCCACCCCGCAAATCGCTGTAGACGCCCCAAGACCCCCTCCCAGCGCCGCCGTCCCCGGGCAGCGCCGGCCCCGTATCCACCTCGCCCTGCAGCCGCCCGCGGAGCGGGGACCAGCGAGCCCGGGGCTACCACCCCACCCCGTACAGAAGTGGAAGCGCAGCACTCCGGACATTACGGTACCCAATCGCGAGAGCCTCGGAGCGGCCAATCAGCGCGCAGACTACCGTTGGCGCGATGGGCCCCAGCTCCAATAGGCGCCAGGAGTGGGCGGGCCGAGAGGGGGGGGCGAAAGGTGAGAGGTTCCGGCTCGCCGTGCCCGGAAGTGTAGCAGTTGGTCGTCACTTCCGCTTCTTCCATTCCAAGCGTCCGGCGTGCTCACGTGGAGCCCGGGAGCAATTTTTTGTTTGTTGGGCGCCGTCGTCGCTGCCGCGCTGCGTTGCCATGGTGAGGGCCGGGGCCGGGGCCGGGGCCGGGGGGGCAGGGGCAGCGAGGCCGCGCTGACCGTCGCTGCCGCCCGCAGAGTCTGCCGCTGAACCCCAAGCCTTTCCTGAACGGGCTGACAGGGAAGCCCGTGATGGTGAAGTTGAAGTGGGGCATGGAGTACAAGGGCTACCTCGTCTCCGTCGATGGCTACATGAACATGCAGGTCAGGCCGGGCCCTGCGGCCGCATGGGCTGAGGGGAGGAGGGGAACTCTGAGCGGCTCTAACACGTGTGTGTGTGTCCGTGTGTCCCCAGCTGGCGAACACGGAGGAGTACATTGACGGCGCCTTGTCGGGCCACCTGGGCGAGGTCCTCATCAGGTAATGCTGCGGGTGCTGGTGCCGCCAGGTGTCCTGCTCTGGAGGGGGGTTACAGCCCAGGGGGGCCCAGCCTGTGGAGACATGGCCCCAGCCCTGGCCCGTTGGCCGCCCAGAATGGAGGTGATGCACTCGGGTGCCAGCCTCCGCCAGGCTGTTGCAGCCAAGGGTGGGCAGGGCTGGGCCCGCCCCTGCACATCCAGATTGGGAGCTGCTCTGTTTGGTATCCTGTGGTGTCCCCCCCCCGCCAGTGTCTGGATCCGAGCTGCTTCAGCCTGGTGCCCTGCAGGTGTCTGGTTTGGGGCCGGCTGCTCTCCTCCCCTGCACATGTACACACATGTGTCTAGGGCATTTTTGCATGTGCTGTGGGATGTGGTGCAGGCACTTTAATTACTGAGCCATCTTAATTAAAAGTACCAGCATGTTGCACAGCAACCTTCACAGAAAAAATGGTAGCAGGGCACTTTGAACTAAAACTCATCCAACGTGACTTATTTCAAAGCACCCCGCAACCACGTTTTCAGCATGGGGACGCTTGATACACGTAACACGGGAGGCTACCGAAGCACTTCAGTTTCTGTGCTCCAGCACACTTGATTAATCAAGTTTGCTGACGCGAGGCTCCACGCATGTGTACAGGAGCCACTGCACCACTCATCCAGAGCTGCTTCTCTCCCCTTTTCCCATGTGTCTAGGTCAGGGCTGCTCTGCTCCTCCCTGGGTGGGCAGATCAGTCAGGCTATGCAACCCCCCACAGCTAGATTGGGCCCATTGGAGGGATCTGGCACTGCCTAAAGCCTGCATGGTGAAAAGGTTGGGCCCGGCTATTAGAGAATCATAGGAATTGTAGGGCTGGGAGGGACCTTGCTAGAGTCAATGCCCTGGCCCCTTGCTCAAGACAGGGCCCCCTGTTCAGTGCTCCCTCCAAGCCCCAACCCTGGCCTGTGCCTGTTGGGGCTGGCTTGTGGCTCTTCCTGCCAGAAGGCAGGGGAGGCTCAACTCCCACTTTGCAGACCTTGTTCACACGAGAGGCACAGCACAAGTTTTCGTGAGCAGCAAGCTGCTGAATTGGCCACATCTCTGCTTTTGAGTTGGTCTGTAAGGGGCAGATCTGCCCTGTCCCCTGCCTGATTTTAGGCTAAGGAGCTCTGCTTCTGTAGCTGATAGCCCTAGCACTAAAGATCATAACAGCCCTTCTAGTGCTGTTTCTTAAGATAAAAAGGGGTATTGAGCTACGCACACACCCACATGGCTTGTGGCGTCCTTCTGTATAATCAAGTGGTTTGGCTTTGGTGCTAATTGGACACCAGTGCTAATACCTAAATTGCAAGTTGTGGTGTATGTGTACTAAGGTCCTGCTCCCTGGGG